CCCCAAGTCTGGGATAAGATACTTCACCCCCCAACCCCCCTCTCCACTATCCCTTATTTTATGCCAGCTGCACTGTGTCTCCAAAAATCACCATTCTGTCAAATACTTCACTGAAGCAAAGCAGGCCCCCAGTCACTTCTCAAAACGGGAAAATACAACACTTAAAGGTTTATTAGTATTTATTTTTTCTTAAGAAACAGGCCTTCTCACTTGGGAACTAGTACAATGCTATTGCTAGAAGCTGCACTCACTATGCCAGAGAGAATTCTCTCCATAGAGTGAGGGAGTGATCTGTAAGCATTTATGCACCAAAAAAAAGGATGTGCATAGTATGTTTTCAGTATTTTCAGGTGTTGTATTTAAAGCCATAATCTGTGCATACAAATGAAGATCTATTATTAGGTAACAGACATTTTTTTATGGAGATCTGGATTTGTTGCAGGATTTCAGTATGGGAAAAAGCGGCTGAGTACAAAATCTTGTGCACCAGTGAGGTGTCATGGACTATCCTCATAAACTTTAAAGAACTGTGGTGGTAGAATTACAGGAATCAATCCATGCACAGATAGCAGTGATAAGAGGAAGCCCAGACACCCACTATATTTCAGATCATCTTAAATAAAAAAACAAAACACAGCAAAATAATCATGTGGACTCTTGTACTTCATTGTGGAACAATTACTTAAATTATAGATCTGGATGTGAGCTGTCTTCCCCCTCCCCTGCCCTTGTACAATGATAAAATGCATCCTTTTCAATCAGGAAGCGGTGAGTTACCATATTAGTATAGTAGTATAGATAGGTAGGTAGATATTACACTACTTATGTATTCCAACTCAGTGGGCAGAAATGTCATTAACAGGAACTCTTGATGATCTGGACCAGTACTGCTTGTGCTATGTAAGGTTCTCCACTTCCTTTAATTGTTTGCGTAGAATAATCCAAGATAAAAAAGTCTTTGGAAATGTTAAGAATCTGTTTTATCGTATTCAAGTCATGATGTCTAGCATCCCATTCCCTACA